CACTACCTTACAAAAATTTTTAATTAAGAATTATTTTTTATATTTTTAGTAATTATAACTATATTTCGATTAAATTAAATAAATTTTAATTTTTATAAAAAAAATTGATTTCTAAATATAATAACTTACCAAATATAAAAAAAATAAAAACAAACAATCATAACTATTCTAAGTAAAACCTTAATATTTTTTATAAACAATTTCTGTTTTGTTATTATAGCTGACATCTCTTTAAAACACTGTATAATATGTTTGTAATTTTTTATTTATATTAAAGTTGTGCATATATAAGTTATCATTGTTTGCTACATTTTTTTTATTCCGTATAAGAAATAAATTTAACGGCATTACTATTACATTTTAGGAAATTCATCGATGGACAAAATGATGGACAAAATGGTTGAGACAGTTGAGAATTTTGTAGACCACCATAGAAAACTTGAAGAAGATCTGAATGAGTTGAGAAGCGAATGGCAGGTTCTAAAGAGGAGAAAAATTGACGTTAATTCAAGAATACAAGTAGAGGTAGAGGTTCACTCGGGCCAGGTGGTGAAAGAAGAAGTAAAGGGATGGCTTGAAGATGTTCAAAAGATCGAACAAGACATTCAAGATGTTGAAGAAAGAGTAGGCACAGTTCCATCCTACAAACGTGCCAGTCTTGATAAAGATGTGCGTAAAATTATTGAAGAGGTGAAGAGGATTCAAGAGAGGCGCATTTTCGAAGGAGGCCTTGGGATTGAGAGAGCTCCAGCTTGTGGAATTGTCATTCCAACAGAAAATTTAGAGGGTGAAATTTCTACTAGAGATGAAATTTGGGAGCACTTGATGGGCAATAAAGTTGGAATGATTGGGGTTTGTGGTATTGGTGGAGTTGGTAAGACTACAATCATGAAGCATGTTAACAATGATTTGGTGACGGGGAACAGATTCCAGAAAGTGATTTGGGTTATTGTATCATACCCTTTGAATATTTTTGAAGTACAAAAGGAGATTGCTGAAGCTATGGATGTGAAACTCCAAGATGAGAAACAAATGAGGCGGGCAGCAGCACTAATGGAGATAATGCGAAGAAAGACTTTTGTGCTAATATTAGATGATGTATGGGAAAAGTTTTCTCTCAATGATGTTGGAATCCCAGAACCAACTGTGCAGAATGGGTGCAAAGTAGTTATCACTAGTAGATCAGTTGAAGTATGCAAGTTTTTTGATTGTGAGATTGTTAAAGTGCAGCCTCTTTCACAAGAGGAGTCTCTAAACCTATTCCTAGATAAGGTTGGACATGCTGTTTTACAAAATGTGCCGGAATTGGAAGAAACCTTGAAGCTTATGGTAAAGGAGTGTGCTGGTTTACCACTCGCTATTGTTGTGATAGCAGGGAGCATGAAAGGAGTGGATGATATTAAGGTGTGGAGAAATGCATTGACTGAATTACAAGAATGTGTTAAGAGTGTGAAAGGTTCAGAAGATGAGATATTTATGCGGTTAAAATTTAGTTTTGATCGTTTGCCTAATGAGAAAATCAAGAATTGTTTTCTTTATTGTTCCTTGTTTCGTGAAGATTATTTATTTAAAAGGGAGGAATTGATAGAAAGTTGGATTGATGAAGGACTAATGGATGGATTGAGAAGCAGGGAAGCAGCTTATGACAGGGGCCATGCCATTTTAGATGTTCTTGAAAAGAATAGCTTGTTAGAGAAACATTTAGGGACGATAATAGAGATGCATGATGTTGTGAGAGACATGGCTATCAGAAGCATTGGTCCTGGAGTTGGATATATGGTAAAAACTTGTATGAAATTGACAGAGGTACCAAATGAACATGAGTGGGCCAGAGATCTTAATAAGGTATCTCTAATGGCAAATGACATTTCAAAAATTCTTGTTGGATTGACTCCAAAGTGTCCGACCTTGTCAACTTTGATATTATCGGACAATCCTTTGACAGAGATTCCAGAATCCTTTTTTGAGAATATGAGTCGACTCAAGGTTCTTGATCTTTCTGGAACTCATGTTGAAGCTTTACCTAGTTCCATCTCTAAGCTGAAGTATCTCTCTGCATTGCGGTTAAGGAGGTGCAAAAAGTTAAAGTGCTTGCCTTCATTAGAGAAGCTTGTGGCATTGAAGAAGTTGGATCTGCAATGGGCAGGGATTGAGGTGGTCCCTCAAGGCATGGAGATGTTAGTAAGTCTTGAATATCTTGATTTTTGTTATACAGATTTGAAAGAGATTCCAATAGGAATATTGTCTAAATTATCTAGTCTCCAGTATTTGGTAGCAAAAAAGGATTGGAGATCACCTAGTGTAAAGATAAACTCAGAAGAGGTTGCTAGATTGAGGAAGTTGGAGATTTTAAAATGTAATTTTGATGACATGCAAGACTTTAATTATCTTCTGAGGGAGTTTAAAAATTTTCAAAGTTTTATTGCTTACGAGCTTCAAGTGGGAACAAAAATGGACCATGATAGGGATTTTGAGAATACTAGTCATAAATGTAGACTTATAATTAGTGAGTGTAACATTGGAGAAGAATGTATAGTGCTTCCAGATAAACTTCAGCATTTGCGGATCCATAAATGTAAAAACATCAGAAGCAGCTTAAACAAAACAGCTTTGTTAGAGAATGCAACCGAGTTGGGTGCTTGTATTATTAGTGATTGTGAAGAGATAGAGTACGTTGTTGAGTTGGATTCATCTTTCTCCTCATCATGTAAACCAGTACTTGATAAGCTTGAACATCTGCGTCTTTGGGATTTGCCTAGGTTGTGGGCACTCGTGAGAGTGGAAGGAGTAGCAACACAGCCACGTGTCTTTTCCAATCTTAAGACACTTGGTTTGGAAGGATGTTCAAGAATGAGGAAGTTGCTTCCACTTGAGCTATTGCAGGCCTTCCAAAACTTAGAGATGATTGAAGTTGGTGGTTGTGAACAAATGGAGGAGATAATAGCCTCATCAGATTCAGATGCATCATCATCGAATAAATTCAGTTTCACTTGTCCTAAATTAAGCGTATTGCAGTTGTGGAGGTTACCCCAATTGAAGAGTATCTGCAGTGCTAAAGGAGTTATGGTTTGCGATTCTATTGAATACATTTGGATAAGGCAATGTCCTGAGTTAAAGAGGATCTCTGTGCAGCTTCCCATGCTTGATAATGGTCAACCATCTCCTCCTCCTCATCTCAAAGGAATTGGGATAGATCGACTCTCAAAAGAATTGTGGGAATCATTGGAGTGGGATCATCCTAACGCTAAGAACATACTCCAACCTTTTCTTCAAATAAACTGATTATTGAATGGTTAGTATTTAATCTAATTTGAATTTAATTGTTTAATTGCTTAAAATTTTTGTCATCTCAACTGCAAGGGCAGTCCTTGAGAATATTCAATTTTATTCATATGACAGTAGAGTAGCGGATGTGTGTAAATAATAAGTCACGTGCAACCACAATAACATGTGTGTAAAGAATAGGAAAACCGATGTAAGGAAGGAGGTCTTCTGGAAGAGATGAGATTGAGATGCATCCACCCTATGCACTCATGTCTTAAAACGCCAATTATGTAAGTTGTGATTTCGCTATTCTTTGATTTTTTTGAATTTTGGTGTTTTCAAGTACGTAATTTCACTATTTTATTCTCTTTCTTGGGTTTTGGGTATGTGCTGCAAAAATTGGGTACCTTTTGATCACCGAGTAAAAGAGCTTCAACAAAGCATCATGTTAACAAAATGAGAATTGAGTTTATCATCTTCAAAATTTAGGAAAAGATGATTAATTAATAAAATTGGGGTTTGAACATTAATATTTCTTTTTTTTTCTTTTTTCTTTATTATTATTATTATTATTAATATTTATGATAAACTGAGATTTCTCTACATCTTGCAAACTAGCTTGATACTATGGAATCAAACTACATCACTCACTATGTCTTCAATTCTTATAGTTTTTCTTAGGATCGATTTGTTGGTCTCTTGTTTCCAGATTCTGACATATTTTAAAGCTTCGATATTGCATTTAGGATCTTTTATCAAGCAAAGGCAACTTCTCTTGGTGGGGTAGTGAAGCAAAAGAAAAATGAGACTCAGCCAGGGCCAATACTCCTTGACATGGTTGACAATAATCTTGTTTTTGTTTCAATTTATGTGTCTTTTATTTATTGGATGGACTTGGTTTAGTGCTGATTTCATTTGGTAATTTGTTTTGTGTTGTAATTAAGTTGTCAAGCGTGTTGTGTCATGGGATTTCTACTCTTTTGATTGATAGAATGTGACTCCGTTATCAATTTGAAATGTAATTTTTGTAATACCTGTCGTGTTTGATATATTGTTATAATTTCAAGTTCCCTTTGCATTGCTGACTTGAGCATTGAATTGGAGAACACTCTGGTAGCCCTTCATCGCCCGGCTTGTTACACTTTTGCAAGTTTTTTTTCCTACCTAAAAACCATATTTATTTTATTTCATTTTCTTATATCATTTGCAATCCTAGATTCTTTTGGTCGCTAAGAAGGAAATAATTGTTGTAGATTGAAGTGAATAGTAAAAGGAGTTCAATTTAGGAATCACCAAAACAAAAAAAGCAAGGCATGGTGGAAAATTACAGCTTTAAAATAATTGCTCAGCTCTCATAAAGTCGAAGTAGTAAGTATATTTTGACTTGTTTACTGCATTTCATTCTCTTTATTTTTTCTTTTGCTTGTTCCCTAGAGTTTTGTTCGTTGGTTATTTGATGGTAATTGTATTAAGTAGGCCAAAATTTTCAAAAAGTAAGTTTAACAGAATTGTGGGTGGATGAAACGACATTGTTCTTTTATTATTCCATTTCACTTTCTTCATTTTTTTTTTCTTAATTTTGGGTTTTATTGCATTTTTGTGATCTTTACATTTTCTTTATAAATTGGTTTCTAGGTATGGCTTAAATTAAGCACCTTTTGATAGTTGAGTCAATTAGCTCAAGCTCAAGGTCTCCCTTTCCTCTGGGTTTTGGTTGCTTCAATGCCTAAATTGCTTCTTATATGCGCATTACTGGAGTGCTTCCAATAGTTAACCTTTTCTTTCTATGGAGCTACATTTTATGCTCTTAACTAACATTTTTCTTCTTTCTTTCATTTTACTTATTGCAGATGCATGGATTTATGCTCATGAAGCAGTTGAAGATGGGGAACTTGGTGATGATGCTGATGATGTTAATTTTAATGGTGAAGAGAGATTCTAATGGTAAAGCTAGTAGGAAAAGGGGGTTAGTTTTCGATTTGTGGGGTGAAGACAAGTATGAAGATGCCATCAAATTTTCTTTCTATGAACCTACCAAAAATTGTTATGGAAAGAAACTTCAATTGACAGTAGAGAGCACAAATAGTGAAAGGTCTTTTCTACTAAGAATGAAAATCATATATATATATATATATTTAATGATATAATTCTGATTAATTATCAATGATTGTGAATTTGTAGAATCCATCAATGCCTTTACCTCCTCCTCCTGAACAAGTTGCTTTCAACTATGGTTGTGATGCAAATCATGATATCCCTCTTGCTACAGTTACTAGACCCACTAAGGTTAGTGTATTTACCTTAGTCCATCTCCATGCATGCTACTTCCCTCTTGTTCTATGAAATTGAGCAGTGATTATGGTCTTTTGATTTAGAATGTTCAAATTATCTTAGGAATTGCAGAGGAAAGATAGGGAGATTGGCCATGGAAGTTGAATTTAACCGACAGTAGGAGGTATATCACATAGATTGAATTGACACATGTAGACTTTTACAATTTTCACTCATACGTTTTCATTGGGACATACAGCACAGGAAGTGAAGCAAAATAGAGGCTTTAGCAAGAGGTAACTTGCATTTGGTGTTATGTTTTGTTGATTACTCATCATATCCATGTCGTGGCCTGTTTTTGTTGCCTTTGATGGTCTATTAGCCTTTCATTCATGCCATGACAATCTAGAATTTTTGATTTTTTGTTTTGCAGATTGGCCTCCATTTGCCTCAATTGTTCATAATGATATACTGATTTATCTAGAAAAGTCGATGTACATTGCCTTTTCATCATTCTTAGGTATGTAAGCTTTTTCATTTTCAGTATATTATATTTATTGACTGAATACATTCGATTATATACACGATGTTATACATGACGTTATGCTTATCAACATCTATATTGATATATGTCATGAATGGTAAATGTATATTTCTTCCTTATGCAGGATTGGTTCTGTGCTTTTTCTGGAATGTCACAGCTGCTACTGCTGCATACATCAAAGGGGAAGGATGGAAGCCAGGCGGTAATGAGACTTCTTTAGTGAATACCTGTACAATCCAAGAAGCATCATACTGGGGAATTGGATCTAGTCTTGCCATCATGGAGATAGCTTGCAACATCTTACAAGAACTAAAGATCAACAACCATCACAATTTTGAACATTATTCAATTGTCAGAAGATTAGGAAGATGCTCATATCTATTTATGGTGAATGGAAGGGCAAACTCTTGGCAACGAATAGAGATCTTATCTTGAAAATTTTGTTGATTGTGTTCACTGGTGCATACTTGCCGGGACTAAATGATACATGGAATGATATTTTGTACGCATATTTGTTGAACGGTTGTGAAAATCTTGAAGATCTGAACCTCCTTGGAAATTAAGAAGGTAAAATCAAGGTATTGATAAAACAAAGAATGAGTCTTCATTTCCAAATCAACTAACGATCTTCCGATGATTGAAAAAATATTAGGCTTGCAACAATCCAAGTCTGCCGCCGCTTATAATTTAAACACAATGAAAATATCAAAGTTTTCCTGCAAATACATGACCTTACTAGTAAAAATGCATTCACTCTTTGCTAGATTTATTCATTTTTGGGTGCTTGAAGTTCAAGTACATATATAACATATCTCTGAGTCATGACATATATTTGAATCGTGAATGTTTTTCTTGTTAAATATTTTTATTTAATTTAAAAACTTTAATTATTATTCATATAATATATTAAATTTTTATTTAAATTTTATATTTAAAAATTAAAAAG